TCAATACAACTCTATGGTCACTCATAAAAAACTCATGACTGGTATGCACTGAGATAGAGTCTATGTTGATTGTGAACATTAAATCAAGTGTATTATTCCCCCTGGTCGGTTTTCGGACCTGTTGAACCCATCCACAAATTTCTAATGTTTCAACTAGCTTGTTATATGGACTTGGTACCGGAGTCAAGCCTCATGTAATTTTTGGCAGATTAAAATCACCTCCGATGATTTTAAAAGTATGCGGTTGGTGCGAAGCAATGGTAAATATGTTTGTTAGTAGTCTGTCAAACTTAGTATCCGCATGCGGTGGTCTATATATGCATCCCACCAGTAAATAATTTTGGGATCCACAGTTTACAGTAACCCAAGTGGAGTCTTCTATAGCATCAAGGGATTTATCCTCAAATTTGCACGCTTGAATGTCTGAACGGACATAGATAATTGTACCGCCTCCTATTCCATAACATCTATCGGTTCTAAAGAAAACGTAGTTATCTACATTCAAGGAATGATCGGATATAGATGAATTACACCACGTTTCCGTAATAAGTACAATGGTTGGATTTACAAGGAATAAAAGAGTTTTAAGGTGAATAATTTAATTAGACAGAGAGCGGGCATTGAACGAAAGAATAAGAAACTTAGAGTCATCATAGTGAAGCAGGTTAGAGTATAAATCGCAATTGGTAGTTCCATGAATACTCATAGGATTAGCTAAGGTGAGAGTCGTGTTGCGAGGGGAAATAGATTCAACCACTTTGTCATCATGTGAAATATGTTTACCGTTGCCGGCAGGAAAGCCGGTGGAATTACAAAAAAAGTTTTCTCACTGCTATTGGATATAACATCTGATAAGGGCATAGTGTACATATTGGGAGCCGGACCAAGAAGGCTATCAGGTCTATGGTTTTGACCAAGTGGCCAATTACAATTCAGATAACTATTTATACCTGACGTATGGGTAACGTGTTTAAGACGTTTATTTCCAAGGTTTGTGGTTGATTTCGGCTTCTTCATATGTTGGAGAGGATTATGTACTGTTAAACATACTTGCGATGGTTTGGGAGGTTCGAATATATCAACGTTAAGTGCGTGGTCAGTTATATGAATGTTATGATTAGTTTTCCTGTTATCCGTTGCACAGTTACTGTAACTGGGTGTTGCACTAACAGGGGTTTGGACTGTGTTATCCCATTCTTCATCAGCACAACTACTTCGGGTTGAATCTAAATCAACATTCTTAAGAGGATGGACACCACCTACATCGGGATTACTTTCTTCTGGGTTTTGAACTTTAGGAGATTCAGAAGAGCTTTTCGGTGGCGGCAAAATTGTTAAGCTAGACGTCCTCTTAGAATCGGACTTAACTTTACGACCATTAAGATTATGATGCGTTTGAGAGTTTGACGCTGGTGGTCTGTAGTTATCTCTTCCTGCTTTTCTTCCTGCTTTTGTTTTAGGACTGTTTCATCTGCTGTGTTGTCATCCACTAAGACTTGGAGGTGACGCAAAAACGGTGATAGTGACCTATAACGTAACGTTCCTCTTTGGAAAAGCCTTTGGATTCTTTGGCCATCTGAAAATAATAAATGGTTCATTATCTCTCGTCTTAGGATGGTGTATGGTTGTGGCAATGGTGGACATAAATCAAATTGCGGACTTCCTTGACGACTGAAAGAGGGAGGACGAAACACAAGTCTCGACGGCAACTTCCATCAGATTAAGTAATTCGTCTCGTGAAATAATTCTCTGGTTGAGCAAACCACAACTCGATATCACTACAATGAAGTTCTGGGAGCCGAACTTTCGTAACTATAACAGTGTCTATCCCTATTGGTGACAAAAATCACTCATGACTTTCGTCTGGAATTCTTCTACACTGAACAACATCGCACGTTGAGGTAGGCGGTAGTTGAACATATATAACACTTGTCCAAACCGCCTCAGTCGATGAAGATTTTCTACCTTGTCAGTTTATTCGTCATTGGTACATGGCATCTTAACCCTATCCTAGATATTGCTTGCTCAGTGGTGTCAAAATACACAAGCTATGTCTCGAAGACAATTAAAACCAAATACTAGTAATCTATGAATGTTATCTTTTTATAGCGTCCATTTTTCATACCCAGAAAGCAGAATGGAATGAAGTGTTGCATAGTAAACTCACTCTTTGGTTGTTGGGTGGATACCTCTCCTAAGCCAAAAATGAGGTAAGTTAATAAAAATCAGCCAAGTTTTTTATAACCGGCGTCAAAATTTCATCGGACATCAACCATCCGGGATTTGTGAGACTCGCGAGATGAATGTGATAGACACACTCAACTACTCCACTCCCTATCGTGAGTTTAGGTGTTGACAAAGACCAGTCTTGGGGCAAAATTTTGCATTTGGAGTGAGGGATTCTCATGCCGAAAATGCTTGGGCTGTCGTTCATGGAAATCAGAAGAGTAAACTTTTTCGGTGTTTTAACCGAACTGGACTATATTATCTGCGTATTTCAAGTCAGACAGTAAATCTTTTGGTACAATAACCCCTGAAATATCAGACGATGGGAGCGCTATCTCCAAAAGTACGTTTGACAAAGTTGTATAGGAGTGGAGAAAAGGGACGGGCCTGAAGAACACCACTATATGTCGATAATTTCAATGATAAATCACCATAAGCTCTAACTTGACATGTAGTGTTCCAGTGGATAACCTGTACAGGGTTGATAGAATTATTTGGTACACATTTCAGTAACATACACTACCATGAAACCTGACAATCTACAGGGTTTGGTGCCGCCTTAATGTCAAGGAATACGACTACAGTCAAATGTTCAGAAGAATGTCTATGTTCAAGAGCATGGAGAAGGGTGAATCTCTGGTCGATACATCTATATCAAGATCCAAAGCCAGCCTATATTTCTTGTGATTGCAGTTCAGAGGCGCTAGTTAACCATCGTTGTGTTAATGAAATCAATATTTTAAATAACATACTAGTTAAATCGATTCCTCGAGTTGACAGGAGGGTTTTTGTTCTTCATTGCAAACCGAGACGATTAGCTATCGAGACCAGGCAGATGGGATTGTGATGCCGGTCAATTTAACTGTGAAATATGAACCATCATCCTTAGAGATATTCGGAATTAGTTCATCAGAACCTACTACTCTCCCTTACTCTAGGTTGCTTGTAATATCCTGAACATCATTAAAAGTTAAGGGATTTACGCCAGTTCACCACTCGGGCTGCAGGGAGATTATGAGTATATGAAGCGTGACTGAATGTCATTTGAATTGTTCCCTAAAGTGTTCTGTCAATATTTCAATCACATGGACTGGGAGTGACTAATAATTTCGTATTTTTTCATAGATAGTCATATTAAAAAGCCGGATTTCTAATATCCGTTTGGTCGATAAGCCTGAGGAGTAGTTCACTATCACCTTTTGTTGCTACCTCTGCCATCTACTTTTCTTTTGTTAACAATCACTCCCCACATTCATTGTGTAGGCTTTCTAATTAGCCTACACTTAAGTTGCTTTCGCCCCTCGTCGTGTTCGGAGCAAGACAGGATGGATTTCCAATCATCTATCACTTTGGTATATGCGTATGTTTTTATTAACGGTTAGTAGAGATACAAGGTAGAATCAATATTGCATTCGTCTGCCCATGGGACGCAGCTGATTAACGCACGTTAATTGTCCTTTGGGGAGGACCAACTGATTGTTCGACAGTCAGCGACCTGTCTGCCAAATGATTTAGCCAGAACCTAGGGATGTTTTACTGGTCGCACACTTTGGGTACTAGAATTTAATGCCTGACGAATGCAAATGGTGGGTTTGCTAAAGGTTGTCCATGGTCACGTAGATTGGCTGTCGTTAAAATGGTCAAATCCTTGTGGATTAAATAAACAGTTGTTTGATGAACAAATACGAACTTTCAAGCATTTCAAGCCTTCTTTCAAAAGCGTCATATTTAAGCATCAATGTAAATAGATCTCAAAAGTAATTGGGATGTACTTGATCATTATGAGTTATTTGTAGGTACCCCAAAAATGTCAGCTTCTGAAAGCGTAGAATTGTTGAGTTGAACTGAAATCCTTAGAATTGGTTTATTTATATTACCTAACTACAAGTCTTAATCCTGGAGTACGGTTGACTGGAAAGGTATGATTGGGTGATCTATATAGTATTAAGTTGAAGATATGCCACCCAATAACTTCCTATTCTGCCCCACCCTAACACGGTGGTCGAAAGATTTTTCTTCTCTGGTGCACGTTAGGTGACGAATAAAATCATATCAGGCAGAGATCGATTTAAGTCTAGAGGGAAAGAAAGAGTGATATAGACCGTTTGCAACCATACTGCTTCATGTTCCGATCACACTTATCCAGTTTCATCCTATACAGGTTAATATTGACCTTTTAAAGCTGTGATACCCGGTTCATAGCCAAGTGACCGATTTCAAAAATTGGTATTATAAATTCACCTATACTGTTAGATCACTATGGTGCAGGTTTAAGTTATCAGAGATGTCACGGATATTCAGGGTCTGACAACGCTCTTGTCCGTAACACGTTTGTAATCATAAGATCCCAAACTCAGTTAAATCACAAGTCAGTAGTGAACGAGTTTGAAGATATATTTGGAACGTATTCGTTATGTCATGGAGATTGATCACATCTGGTTTTTAATTGCAATGATTGCTTTGCACAGTATGCCCAGTGGTGTTCTGGTGAAGATGCATGACCAACGGCTTCATCCAGGGTTTGTTCAGTAAAACTAATTAGGTCAATGTTGATGTCGAAGACTTGCAGAGCTGTTGATTTAGGGATTAATTTACCCCTATAGTGTCATCAAAAAGATCTATTGTCACATTGAACGATTTAGTGGATGTATAAAGCGTAGAAACAAACTGAGTAATAAAAGTTTTTTTTGTGTTACTAAAAATTCTGTTTGCAATTGGATTTCGATCACCTGTATAAGCTCGTTTAAAAGTACACTTCGTAATTTGAGGCGGTCAATACTAAGAACTGACGCAGGATGACCACTGAAAATGGTATGTTAATTGATCATGTCCTCTCACGATTATCTTATTAGGTGAAATTCGCCGTCCAACTATTGCTGATCGTGAGGATGAATATCGTTCGCGTCGTCGATTGCTGATGATTTCTCCAGCAAGAGTAGACCCGTTCGCTGACGGTATGTATACAAACAGCGTTTTTATTGTTTATCAGCATTTATCCTTAAGTTATTACCCCATCTAAGAACGAATTTTTCTTTTTTGTATAGCGATGTGGTGTCCAGCGGGGCTTGTTTTTTGTGTAAGGTTAGGGCGTTTGGTAAGTGCATATGATTAGGTGATTTTTTAGTTCTTATACATTCTACGCAATCCAAACTCTTTTACAGCAATTTCGCATCATTCAACCTTGAAGCAATCTCTTGGTTCGGAAACGATGGCCCGGGATAAACCCATCACGTGCGTCATTTTTTTATGATGTTAAATTATGTGTATAGTTCTCTAATGCCTAATTTGTCTTTGCTTCTTTTTATTTATATTTGTTTCTGCGCACCACTGACAAATAATTTGATGAATTGGCGTTTGTAGGCGATCAAACACCGGATCACCGTCTATCAACGTACAAAGATATCATGCTTAATCAGCAACTCACCAAGGAACAACGAGCATTACAAGCAGAGATAGCCGAAAGAGGTAAGACGGGGACGCTACGAATGGACTCAGAAGTTCCCGCAAAAAGACGTAGATGGGATCAGCCTACTACAGATGTCAACGGGACTAAGAATGACGCACCAACTCCTGCTGCTACTCCATCAACTCCTTCGAAGCGTTGGGGGGATGACGCACTCACTCCTTCACGTCCACCCTCTACACTTACAGGAGTCTCAACCCCTGGAAGTCGGTCACAGTGGGATGACACTCCCGGGAGAGCGAAAGACCCTGGCGCAACCCCTGGACAAAGCGTTAGGCAATGGTCAGAAACTCCCCACTTTGCAGCTACTCCAGGTCGAGAAACAGGAAGTTCTGCATTTGGTGTAAGTATTAAGACTGGTGAATTTCATACCGCTAACTAATTCCCCGTGCTAATACTTTTAATTTTTTCCCGTTACAGGGGACACCTAGTGCTAGACGTAACCGTTGGGACGAAACTCCTCACACTGAAAGGTATGGTGCCGATACACCAGGTCACGGTGCTGGATGGGCAGAAACCCCCAGAGCTGATCGAACTCCTGGCGGTGTAGAGTCAATTCAAGACACACCATCTTCAATGGTTTATGGACCAGGTTCCACTCCATCAAGCATTGCTGCTGCAGCTGCACTTGCCGTTAAGCGCAGATCTAGATGGGACGAAACTCCATTAAAAGCAGGTTCAACTCCAGGTGGTTTAACACCATCTCAGGTTAGTAGTGGTAATGTATTTCGTCTGTAGAATTCATATTGGTGCAACAAATGATTTTATTTTTACTGTGTACGTTTTCATGTTAAAAATTTCGAATTTAGTGTAGAACCGCTGATCTTAACAAACAACTAACCTTTTAGTATAATCCAGCTAGCTAAGAGCTTTGGCAAGCAAAAATATCTGCCAACAATAATTTAGTGCTGACTTACCGCTGATAACTAACAATATTTTAATATTTATTCAGTAGTACCAAACGATAAGCATTTAAATCACGTGTACGGTACTACCTGAATTTATCAAGTCAGCCCATCAAATAAACATTTCTGTAGACTTCAAGACGTATCTAACAAATCATAAAGTGTTGATTGCCAAGATTAAACAAAGTGAAGAATTAGTTGAATGATTTTCAAACTATTTAAAGCAACGACCTACTAAATTATCGTTCAATATTTGTATCATCTATGCATGTATTTGCTTTCTTGTTTCACGTTCATTATTTCGTTAGGTTTTCGGTCTAAGTACTCACAGCACCTGTAGGTTGCAGTTTTCAAGAGCACCTTAGTGATTTTGTAGTTTATTATGATATAAAAGCGTGTATCATCGTAGCATTCACTGTTTCGAGTTGCCAAAAATGTTCTGATGAATGTCGGTTAAAGATAAAACACTGGCGTGTTGTATAAGTTAATAAAACAGCGCGGTCCATAAGTTGGTCTTCTAAACTTCAACGATCATCTATGTCATTTCTCTCTCAGCATGTCGCAGAAACTAGACAAAGCCGATGCACATATATGATTTAGATCCCTGTAATTGGTGTCATCGTTCTTTATGGTTTTGATTTATAGACTCCGGGCAGCTTCACACCGTCAAGTGCTATGGGTGGGATAACGCCAGGAGCAACTCCTGGAGGCTTTAATGCGGCCAGCGCTTTCACTCCTTCCGGAACTACTCCAACAGGTTTACGGGCTATGGCTATGGCTACACCAAATTTCGGGTCTGCTGCCATAACAATACCAGGAGCAGGAATCCCAATGACTCCCGAACAGTTACAAGTATATGCTTGGCAGAAGGAGATCGATGATCGAAACAGACCTCTAACTGATGAGGATTTAGATGAGTTGTTGCCTCCAGGTACGTGTTGTTCGGTTTTAATAAGTTATTCACTGAATTTCAACTATCTCTTTCACCAATCATGTGTTAGTTTGAAAATATGAACTTATTTGTTGTAGATGAAACTTATTAACTTACTGAATCCATCATCTCTACCATGCCAAGCGTATTTAAGCAACATATAACAAGTTATCATATTTCAGACAAAAAATAAAATGTGAGCTTTTAAATAACTAACTGATACTCTCACACTATGTTGGGTTTTCTAACATAAACCTTTAATTGTTTATCATTGGTTAGACGACAGTCCAACGATTGTTTCTGTCTCCAAACATTCGCGGTGGCCTACACATCCCTTAATTCATGTTCACTCATCTCATACTGTGCATTCTTTGATAAACAATAGTAAACGGTTTATGACATGGTATAAAATAAGGTGGGTTCTGTCACCTCTACATTTCTCAACACATTTTGACTAGATGGAATTCTAAAGATTGTGCGTGTCATCATATGTCTCAGGATAAAGGCTGTTAGCATTCGTGCTGTTGTGTTTATTGTATTGGGTGTAAATAAAATCGCGTTTTTACCCCAACTTTCTCATTACCTGTTGTCTTTTTAAGGATTTTGTGATTTGTTCGCAATGTCATCTTTTCGCTCTGTGCGTGGCATATTTGGTGGTGCTTCATCATAAAAAAAACATTCCTCCCAAATAATTATGCCAAGTAACGACGCCCTTTGTTAGTTGGCGGGTCAGTACTTAAAACATCCCTACCATTTTATTTGGTGCACACTTACAAGTTCGTTTATATATTTGACTTCCTCGAATGACTGCATTTATTTTTACGCCAGTCACCTGCAATTCCGATAGATCACGGATTTGTAATTTCTTTTTATCGTATATTAAGTCAAGACCAAACCTACCTAGTCTGTCGGCTATTAATGTTATTCGTTTCAGCGAAATGTATCATTTCAGTTAGCTTCACGACCGGGGATAGTCTCATGTCTGCATTTCATGAAAAATAAGTAGATCTTTATTGCTGTTAATTAACCAACATCAATAATAATCACGTTGTCTTTTTCTGCTACATTTGCACACATAACTGTTGGGTAAACGATTTTGTGTATAAAATTTAATATACTGATTCACTTGTTTCCAGGTTATAAGATCATGCCACCGCCCGCCGGTTACGTCCCAATAAGGACTCCTGCTCATCGACTGGTAGCAACACCAACTCCAATGATTGGAGGGACTCCAATGGGCTTTAGAATCGGCACACCTGATATTGGAACAACAGCTGGGTTTGGTATGAATGCAACTGGAGGTAATGCTGCGGCTCTTGGTGACATGCAACCGAAAGGAGCTAATTTACCCATGATGAGACCTGATGATCTACAGTATTTTGATAAACTGCTACAAGTTAGTAAATCTGAAAATTTATTTACAATTTTATTACGCCAGAAATAATTTCTATTCACTAAACAATTTCTTTTTGGAACTATCACTTTTCGTGTAAGTTTAGTTCAAAATCTGAGAAGTATACAAACACCTAACTTGATTGTTCTAAACCATCTTAATGCTTCGACAAAACCCTGTTTCATCATTTTCCAGTGCTTTAATTACTAATGACTGTCCTGAAACAGTCTTAATAGAAATGTTAATGGTCTTTCTTCCTATACTATATCCTTATTGCAATATTTCTTTTATATATTATCACCTGAATTAACTACTTTTATGAATCCGCTGTCCATCTTGTTGTGTTAATGAGGTATGGCAACTTGGACCGATGCATATATGTGCCTGGCCCTACGTTGTAGCTGACTGTTAATGGTCGGAAAGTAGGTACGTTCCCTTGAGTACATCTTAACCCAAGGTTTACGGACAATGTCACGTTACTTTGTTTTAGTATACAGGATCCTCAAGCTCCAGTTTGTCACTAGCATCTATTGTATGCTTTATGTATTATCTGTGAACTTTTTCAGGATTAGTAAACTATCTTAACAGCTGTACTCCATGTTACATAACTCACTGTTAATTAATTGGAAATTCGTGAATCTATAAACCTGATGTATTCGCAGTCATTTAGACTGCCCATACAGAAAAAATTAATGAATCGTCTTTGCAAAACTTTTGATATCTTAACATCTGTCTATCAGAAGTCAAATTTGTTACTTCGATTCATGTAATCTAGACAAATACCTGTCACGCTCAATTGCTCCAAACTTGAAATTCCGAAAGAATTCCGTATGTTCAGATACCACTATCTCTGTAGGACTAATGGTTGTTCTGATCCTCTGTGTCATGTTAAATCATGTTGGGAATTGAAATTCATCTGATGTAGTTGTCTTTTAACACTGACTTTAGTGTTCCAAATACATTCTTAAAATATTACGCTTCATTTGATTCATCGATTCACTTGTTCCAACTCGTACATAAAGGTCGGTCAGTTGTAGGTGGTTGCATTCATAATAGTAAGTGTATTGACTAAATCTTGACTTCGGTAGTTTCTGAGTCACAAGCACACGAAGAGGTATCCTGGTGCCAGCCATGACAGCATTAGTCTATCAAGTCATCGTTTATGACACTGAACTATCATCAAAATCTCCATGTTTAGTTCACTTTTCGTACCAATTTTTGTGTGGGAAGTTTCTTAGTTTTCATTTTCAGAAGTTTTGCCAATTGTTTAATTAGTGATCTATTATACCTCTTAGCAGGTGGTTTTCTTAGGGAACCCCGAGCCTTTGACCTGAAGGTCTAATCCACAAGGAAGTGGAGCAACGTCAGGAGATGCAGTCCCATAGTAGCCAATGACCAACAATAGGCCATTTTTTTCTTCAGAATCCTGGAGCCCATACGCACCATTGGTTTGAAATCAGGGTTTACTAACTCCCCGGGTCCACTAGCCCGGTTGAACCGCTTCTCTTCCTCTCGATTTCGTAAACAACACTCCCACCATGAAAAGGCAGTGAGTAGGACTTCCTTTGGAGTGGCTGTATACGCGTGGTCATGTGAGAGCATTTCGAGGTAAATATCAAGTTGCATCTCACTTTCCGTACAAGCTTTTTGTTAATTCTTAAAATACATTTTCTCTTTGTTAAAGGATGTCGATGAGGACACTCTCCCACCCGAGGAGGCACGTGAAAGAAAGATAATGACATTTTTACTCAAGATAAAAAATGGTACTCCTCCAATGCGTAAGTCAGCCCTAAGGCAAATCACTGAGAAAGCAAGGGAATTTGGTGCAGGACCTCTGTTCAAACAAATATTACCCCTTCTGATGTCTCCTACACTAGAAGATCAAGAACGCCATTTGTTAGTGAAGGTAAATTAGACCTCTCAATTATGTCTACAATCTCAGCATTTTTGTTTATACATCTACACAGTTTCTTAGTTGTTTTAAACCTGTTTCATTATTACAAATATTGATTGTCAAATTTATTTCTATACTTTCTTTTCAGTATGCATTTAAAATTGAGCACCACTTTTCAATTCATTAATATCCAATCTGTAGAACTTTATAATACTGCTTTGAATAAAATTACAGGGAAAACAAACACTTTATGTAGTGTTTATTGTTATTCATTTTTTCTTTATAAATCGTATGATTAACCTGAGAAAATCTTTTCAGGTTTGTTTCATGTTCCGAGTTTATCTTACCCAGTATTTAATGTGTGTACTAGTGTATACTACATTATTTAAAATAAATTTGATTAAGGTATTCATAATAAACTGTATAATGCAAATATAAACTTAGTTGTCTTAACACGGTCCACACGAGTAATGAAAACATTTATCTGGCGAGACTATAATTTGTGGTCGAACTAAGAAAATTCAAGATAGGAGGTCTTGGATTTGGGTGCAAAATTAATTCGTTTGGCTATATGACATTTTAGGATTATAGCTGATGTCGGTTCGTGATGAAAACCTTAACTGTATTTCCTAACCTTAACTTCCGTCCCAATCTCAATTTCTCGCATTAATTTACAACCCACCCTCTTTAGACCCTAGTAGGAAGAGTTTCCTTACAATCACTTTGGCGTCTCTCAAAGGTCATCCGTAAACTATAGTTCCACCCATTCATCTGTATTACTATCGTGCATCCAATATTGTTGTTGGAACCACTTCCATCTTCTTGAAAATTCAGACAATTCTATATGTCGTCCATAACTTTACTATGATCTGCGTCAGACTCATTTTTGATCCTTTATTTGGTATTAAATAATTACGATGTAATGCATTTTTCAGTATCAAATTTGAGTCATACCCATATAGTCCTGTCATCTGATGTATTTTATCTTTAACCTTCAGGTAAAACAAACATGAGTTTTATTCACCTTTTTATTTCGGTAGGTCATCGATCGTATTTTGTATAAACTGGACGATCTTGTCCGCCCTTTTGTGCACAAAATTTTGGTTGTTATTGAACCTCTACTTATTGATGAAGATTATTACGCTCGTGTCGAGGGGCGTGAAATAATATCTAATCTCGCGAAAGTAAGTGAAAAAAGTATGCTTGTACATTGATTTCCCATAATAAATGATAGTATGTTCAATTAATACAAAGGCAACTAAAAGTAATGAAACCTAAAAAAACGGCTGCAAAAGAAACAAAATTAACTTCACTTGTGTATGTACTGAGGTCCAATCTACGTCAAGTAACCTGTATGGCGATAATCATGCACTACGGATGAAAATGGTGATCATTTACTTAAGCTTTCATCTCAACTATGTATGTCTTGCAGATGCACCCGTTATTTCCAATTCTTTGTCCGCGTACTATTTTATCGCTTTACAACACACTAACGCATCCGTTGACACTTTATTAAAGTTTATCCACATTTAATAATGAAGTTATCAACAAAACTTAGTTTGAAGATAATATATATAAGTCAACATATCTCCAAGGATTTTAATATCAAGTGCTCGTTCCTTTTTACAATTTCCCTCCTATAGTATTCATCATCAACCAAAATTCAAGTAACTTTTATTGGTGATAACAGTATTCGAGGTGGGCCTAAGAAAAGCATAAAGTTCAAGAAGTGTAAAACTTGACATGGGTTTGTTGCAGCCAAAATTTCTCGTCACAGCCAAATCAAGACATAACCAGATGGAATTAAACCACAATGCTAATTGTAATTAAGTAGAACAAAACAAATCACAATAGAGACACTGGTTATTCCCGTATTAATACGATAATATAAATGCACATAATTCAGCATTGGTGTAGTCGTGCTCTTTTTAAATACCACAACTGTAGTGAAATTTATACATCAATCTATTTCATAAAAATTTAATGGGGATTGGATGTAAAGTTAATCTAATAAAAGCTATGTAACTCATTTCCCGCTGTTAGCTGTAGGAAGTCATTTCTAGTTTTGCTTTGTATTGTTTCGAAATCAAACATTTGTTTAAATTAAATAAATCACCAAACTCGAATCAAAGTTTGTTATCTTAAAGGACATCTTCATAAAACCGACAGATTCCTTCGTTTTAATGTAATCCAACTCAATACCCAAGTACTTATTCATGGGACCGATTCTTAGACTTTTATTTCATTACTAGTAACATTAACACGTTGCTTGATGAAATTCAGGTTGCACATGCTTTTAAACCTAATCTAAGGCGGGCGCTAACTAACCTCTACTTGATTAGTGCTGATAGTACGATAAGGGTGACAGTCATTTGTAAACTCGTTTCAAATTATATGTTCGTGACTTTCATGCATAATTATGAGTAACATTTTTTTAGTGAATAACCTGACATTTTACTATTTATATCAAATAGGCTGCCGGACTCGCTACTATGATTTCTACTATGCGTCCCGATATTGATAATATGGACGAATATGTGCGTAATACAACTGCAAGAGCGTTTGCTGTCGTTGCATCAGCTCTAGGAATCCCTAGTTTGTTGCCATTTTTAAAAGCCGTTTGCAAATCTAAAAAATCTTGGCAAGCTAGACATACTGGTATCAAGATTGTTCAACAAATATCCATCCTTATGGGTTGTGCAATTCTACCGCATTTACGGTCTTTAGTGGAAATTATTGAGCACGGGTTAGTCGATGAACAACAAAAAGTCCGCACCATTACAGCATTAGCTTTGGCCGCTCTTGCTGAAGCAGCCACTCCTTATGGCATAGAATCATTTGACTCAGTTTTGGAACCTTTGTGGCGCGGTATAAGAACTCATCGAGGCAAAGGTTTAGCCGCTTTCCTAAAAGCTATTGGCTACCTCATTCCCCTAATGGATGCAGAGTATGCCAATTATTATACCCGTGAAGTTATGTTAATTTTAATCCGTGAGTTTCAGTCTCCTGATGAAGAAATGAAAAAAATTGTTCTTAAAGTAGTCAAGCAGTGCTGTGCAACAGACGGTGTCGAACCTGATTATATTAAGTCGGAAATTCTACCACCGTTTTTCCGTAGCTTTTGGACACAGCGTATGGCTCTAGATCGGCGCAATTACAGACAGGTATTCTTTTTTACGTTTTTTGTTGTATTGTAATTTGATCTTGATGAATGTTAATTTTTTGACCTCATATCCACAAAAGAAAATAACTTTTAACCTACCCAGTGCTTAACTCTATGTTCCCGATTCGCATTAATATTTGCTCGTACCAAGTTCCTTAATCAGTCACAAACATTAAACTTGGCAAAAGTTCGCGTATACCCACATTCTCACTTTTCATACCAGTATAGAGAGAAGTTAACAATATAAAGATTTTAAAAGTGGGATGATAATAGTATCAGTAAACGTGAAAGAAATATAAGCTTGATGAATATAGACCATAAGAACAAATAAAAGTCCAGTTAAAAATGTATGGAATAATGTTGAAACCCAGCATATAGAAGTAGATAAAAGATTAATGCAACTGCACCAGTTTGATCGGCTTTCTGAAACGTCACTTAAAATTCCCAGTCATAGGTTATGATTATCATGTTGATTCTAACCAACTAGTCTATATCTCCTGAAAAGGCTCAGGACACCAGACAATGATATGAACTAATCCCATATCTTAGTACTAGGTGTACGTTTTTTGAATATAATTTATTAGGAAATTTATGCCTTATATATGCAAAATATCCAAATAAAATAGCATGATTATTAGCTGTTTGTCGGCTAGCAAGTGGGTAGTCAATAATAGAAAATAAAAGTCTCTAAACAACTAAAGATTATTCATTTGTGGCTCTCGATGCTGTATTATTTCTAACTTCAACAGAGTAAAACTTTACACAATTATTTTAAACAAAATTAACTATATATAGAGGTTGTGTAGCTTATAAACTGGTCAAATCAAAATTATATTTGGTGGTTTTCCAACACTTGTTGAACTTGTCAATCACAGATTTCGCTCAAGATACCAGCTTTCAAATTGCTAATAAAAAATTGTCAAAATTAACGGTTTAGATAATGAACTAAAATTGTTGAAAAAAGAAAGGGGATTTGTCTTGTTGGGATATTCAGGAAAATATCCCAAAAATTATCCTATTAAGTCTAATGCTATTCTTGGACTTAGAGATGGTATTATTTTCTTATTGGTCAGTACTTATTTCACGTGTCATTTTCCTACTGGTCAATATTGTACAATGTTATTTTCTATTTTATGGTACGATGTGGTCTGCTTGATTAGTATATAAACAGTGTGTTTGAAATATAATGATTCATATCTCAGAGGCTGTGACTTGCGTTCTGGACTCAACTGGCTGGGCTAGACAGGGAAGCGGGACCAATCAGAACCCTAGGCTGTTCTACGTGTTTGCGCGTCTTTGGTCCGATCAATAATTCGTTACCCTCTAATCTGCCGTCACACAGTTATAACAAGTCTAAGTATCATTGATCTTCATTCAGAAATTTTGCATAAGGTATTTACACTTAACAAATCTCATCGTAAGAACGCACGGAAACAGTTTTTTTCCCACACAAGCAAATTTCACTTAATTATACAGCGAATTGTGATTTCATAACCTGTCGGATAATTTTGGGGGGTTCTGCAGTTTTACTACTGTTGTCATTATATTGTGTCTCATAAATTTTCTGAAAAATAACTTGGATCAGTAACCGTAATCAAGTGACGTTAAACTGTTAATCATCTTCAAAGCCCTTTACACTTCAATTTATCCTAGATTTCGTAAATAAGGATAATGTTTTTTAGTTTCAGATCACTACTGAACTTATTTTTGAAGTCAATTAAATGTGTTATGCTATTGCTGATAGTAAAATCCTTTATGTGGAGTACGACGAAAAAAATACCCAGACATGTGATATGCTAGTCGTATAGCTTCATCATAATTGAGTATAATATTTCTTTTTCTCACCGTTTTATTAAGAAGTAATTGTCACTCACTCATTATCAATTTTCGGTCACGAATTAAAATAATTAGTTTGGTCTTATTACCTTGTACATAAGAAGATGCTTTATTTTCTCTCATTATTGTTAGCTGGTTGATACAACTGTGGAAATAGCAAATAAAGTCGGTGCAGCTGATATCATCTCTAGAATTGTAGATGACCTCAAAGATGAGTCCGAACCTTATCGTAAAATGGTGATGGAGACTATCGAAAAAGTTATGTCTGCACTAGGAAGCACAGAAGTTGATGCTCGACTTGAAGAACAATTAATTGACGGTATATTATATGCTTTCCAGGAACAAAGTACCGAAGTGAGCTACTTGTAAATATTTTATATTTCGAATAAGTAAATTGTTCATCGCTCTTTTGGATTACTATTCATATGCTTTCCTTTTATAAATTCACTAACGTGAATTTAGAGTTTCTGCAGTATCCAGGGTTCAATGGAACTTCTGATTGCTTTTATGCGTATAGTTTTAAATGAGTAGTATCTTAGTAGTCATTATCTCCAAATTTTTAAATAGGGGGTTTACAAATCGAATTAAACAGTATAAGGTCCTGCTGAGTTTACTAATTATGAACAATAGCCCAATTATCTAAACATTCGGTTTCCATCTAATGGGTTGCCGGTCAGTATGAATCTTGTTTTATTGCCTGCTAGTTCAAATGCAAGTGCTAATGATGCTCCTCGTTCGTTGATTGACTTTTTTGTACTATTCATAGGGTGGTAGGCTTAGTCCTAAAATAGGTTCTTTAATCTCTGAAACGTTTTTAAAATGAAGGATATATGTTTGTTCAAGTTCCTTCAACTATACCAGCTTATTAAAACACCAAGCTGAATTCTTGTCGTTTGCTTGTTTTTAAGTGCACTAAGCCACATTTTCACACTATAGACTTATATGCATTCTTTTGATATCTTTTAATACTCAGGACGCTGTCATGTTGATTGGTTTTGGAACTATTGTACAATCACTTGGTAAACGTGTTAAGCCGTACTTGCCCCAAATATGTGGTACAATCTTATGGCGTCTTAATAACAAATCGGCTAAAGTTCGTCAGCAGGCAGCCGACCTTATTAGTCGTATCGCTGGTGTAATGAAAGTGTGTCAAGAAGAAAAACTAATGGGTCATTTGGGTGTAGTTTTATATGAATACCTTGGTGAAGAATATCCAGAAGTACTTGGAAGTATTTTGGGTGCCCTTAAGGCTATTGTAAATGTAATTGGTATGACCAAAATGACTCCTCCAATTAAAGAACTTCTGCCAAGATTGACACCAATATTGAAAAACAGGTTAGTTCTAAATGTTATTGTTCACTATCGCTAAATGGTATATAGCATGGTCGTTTTCAGTCAGCTTACCACCGACTTATATTTTGATCATCGGTTTTACTGATGTTTTGTCGGTATCTGAGGATTGCGACTTTAAACATCTTTTCCATACATGCAATTAAAATAATGAATGGTAGTATTTAAAATTGTACCAGTCTAACTCGCTTTTTTATTCTCTGAAGAAGCGACTTACACTATGTCACGAAACATCAGATATTCAGTTGTCTAATTACTGAGGTATTACAAGTATATAGTCAGTTTTCTTATAAACAGTCATTCCACCCTACATTCAATAAGTTTGATATTATCTAGTTAGACCTTGGTAATGATACTCTTCTTGTTTTCTAGGCATGAAAAAGTAGAAGAAAACTGTATCGATCTTGTTGGACGAATAGCAGACCGTGGGTCGGAATATGTCTCTTCTAGAGAATGGATGCGTATTTGCTTTGAACTCTTGGAATTATTAAAAGCACATAAAAAATCAATTCGACGAGCAACTGTCAACACTTTTGGTTATATTGCCAAAGCAATCGGTCCACATGATGTTTTAGCGACTCTGTTAAATAATTTAAAGGTGAGTTGTTTAGAGCTTATTTGTCAAAGCCAGTTAGTTACAGTTTATTCGTTGTTATCTTCTTCACTTTCATTTGTGTTCTCCATTTTAATATTCTTAATTTTTCTCTTCAGGTTCAAGAGCGTCAAAATCGTGTTTGCACAACTGTTGCCATTGCTATTGTTGCAGAAACATGTAGTCCATTTACTGTTTTACCCGGTCTTATGAATGAATATAGGGTCCCTGAACTAAATGTTCAAAATGGTGTTTTAAAATCACTGGCTTTCATGTTCGAGTATATTGGTGAAATGAGCAAAGACTACATATATGCCGTAACTCCTCTGTTAGAAGATGCACTAATGGACCGGTAACTAAAAATTCCTTAATATACTCTTTTTCTATGCGGTTTGCTGACCTAATGTATTTTTCCTTTTAGTGATCTTGTGCACAGACAAACTGCAATGACTGCAGTAGCTCATATGGCTCTTGGTGTATATGGGTTTGGGTGTGAGGATGCTCTTCTGCATCTTTTGAACGTCGTTTGGCCTAATGTCTTGGAAACTTCACCACATGTCATTCAGGCTTTCATGTTTTGCATTGAAGGTCTCCGTGTTGCACTTGGTCCTAACAAAGTACTTCAGTATTGTCTTCAAGTAAGTTCTGCCTAAATATGAGATATTTAGATCTGTTGGAGAAAGTTTTTATTAGAGAATCTTCATTGAGTTTTCCTATTTCTAGCCAAGGTATTGGAAACAATTAGTCTTTAATTATTATTTTGCACTTACACTTACCAAGAAAGAGATAAACATTTTCATAAGTGTTTGGAATACCTTTGTCCTATCGCTTCTGAATGAGGCTATATTCTCCTTCAAACAAAAACTACATGGTGTGCAAAAAATCACCCTTTTGAATTTAAAAAAAGATCTTTCACAACTGTTAAAAAACGATCATACATAAATCGAAACAAATGTGATATTTTTACCATGATTACGAAAACGACAAACGGTCCCTAGAATCAATTTCCTCCAACTTCTAAGCTTCTTTTATCAGCTTGGTTGAATAAATAGTGAAAACTTTCGATCCACACATATCATACGTTATTCTTTTTGAAAAATATATTGTTTATTTTTAACAGGATATTTTACATATTTTTGTGTTTTTCGTTCCTCTCAGGGCTTATTCCATCCTGCTAGGAAAGTGAGAGATATGATGTGGAAAGTGTACAATACTATTTACATTGGTAATCAAGATGGCTTAGTTTATGGTTTCCCACGTATTCCTGACGAACAAGATCACACTTATATCCGTCATGAATTGTCTTATATTTTGTGAAAATGTATTTGTCAGTATGATCACAACCCTATTTACTTCTTATTTTCACTCCCAGACTTTTATGTTTTGTTACTATTGCATTCTTGTCCTTCAAATAAGTTCCTGATATCAGGATCTATTAACTCCTACGGTTTTACACATAGTCATGGTCTTGTATTTAAACCAATTTTTTTCGGATTAATAAATCCGTTAAATTGACTCATGTGCTTTCTAATATTCTATTCAGATGGGTGATGTGAGTGAATTTCTAACTTCATAATTTGGAAATTAATGCCACAAAGATTCCTTATGCTATTAAATCGCTATCGTTAATCTTTTAAAAGTAGGGATAGGAGCGATCCAAAAACTAATCGATCTCATGTTAAATTTGACGAAGCCACCGTTTTATCTACTAAATTATTAATAAAAAACGCCAATTTTCGGCGTCACCAATTTCGAGACTTACTATCCAGAGTCTCTAGTTATCATATACGCTTTTCGCGTGAGCCCTACTCAGAAAGTTTGAACCTCCTGTGACAATTAAGTTTTAAATCCACAAACTTACCTTTGATATTTGCTTGCAACAGTATTTGTAGTTAATCTCTGTTATTTGAAAATGAGTTTGTTGATCGTCGAAACAATAGGCTTACCAATAAGTCATGCACTTCTACTTCATAGCTAGGTTAATTCAGATGTGATGTATTTGGATTCAATTTCAAGTTGTAAGAAGAGGTTGTTAAGTAGCTTGCTGTCAATAAATTTTGTACAGAGAATTGTAGTCATTTAGTCGGTGGTAAAGTTCATCGTCGATTGTGTTTTCTTGGAATATAAGTGAAGGTATACTCTTCTAAGTGCGATTCAGTCATTCAGCTACAACGTAGGACCAGGCACATATATGCATCGGTCCAGGTTGCCATACCTCATTAGCACAGCAAGATGAACACCGGATTCATAGGAGTGGTTAGGTCGAAGGTGGTAATATATAGGAGAAAGATTGCAATAAGGATATAGTATAGGAAGAAGGAATTAGTTAGTAGAAAGAAAGATATGAAGTGATTTTAATCTCTTAGTTTAAGGGAAGACAGGGAGTGTATACTCCGACGCCATTGTGATCGATTCTGAGCCATGTCACCAAGAGTCTCCAACCATTGGTTACAAAAGTCACGCGGACCCTAACCAAATAGTCTGCATTTACCAACGTGGCTCAAACTAGAAGTTAGTGACTTCAAGCACTGATGCCATGTTTTGGTTTGGCCGCCCCTAACTTTCTTCCAACCATCCCCTACACCGGTTAGCATTGCACATCGCGGTAATCGGTGTTCAGGCATACGTAACACGTGGCCCAACCATCTCAGTCGATGATGATTCACAACCTCATCAACTGACTTACCATCATTGCCTAATACCCTGCGTCGGACCTCACTATTACTTATCCGGTGATCCCAACAGACGCCAGTAATATTTCTAAGGCATCTGTGGTCAAATATTTGTGCGATTGAATCTTATAGTTCATTGACAAGAATTGTTGTCTGGGTCCTGGGGTTTAGTACAAAATCAGTTAATCCTTCAGGATGTTCGGACTAAGACATATGGAACATGTTTTCTAGATTGACAGATGACAAATGAATCCTCGTCTCTGTATTCTTGAATATTGGTCATCGAGTCATCTTTAAGTGAAACTCGAACTAACAGTCTTATTTTACCTTTGCTTCATACAGGTTCGTACTTTTCTGTTGATTATAAAATCATACTCGTAAAAGCATTTTAAAAGACGGAGTGGTTACTCATCTTAAGTCTTATAGTATTTAAGTGTGGCAGTCATGTTGGTTAGCTGTAGAACTGAGCTGTATAGGTGGTGAAGTTGGCTGACCTGACAGAAAGGTAACTAACATAATCACAATCTTTCTTGATTGAGATCATGAACCAATTGATGCTAGACCACCGTTGGAAACCTGTAAGCACTGGACGGCCGTTTCGTTCTAGTATGGGCACTGCTGAGGAGTCCCATACTAGAACGAAACGGCCGTCCAGTGCTTACAGGTTTCCAACGGTGGTCTAACATCAATTGGTTCATGATCTCAATCAAAAAACTTAACAATCTCCGCAACCCTCATACTGATAATCACAGTCGTTTGTGCATATGTATGATGATATTGTATCTCATTTAACAAAAGGACTTGCTAAACAGTAATAATTACATGTAAATGCCATCCCAAAGCCGACATAATCATGTGGGGTAGGTCCAACTCTTCATTCTGATGATGACACTCGAATCCCTAAGTCGAGCGAAAATTCCAAGTTTCATATATTTGTCTTCTGAATCCTTATTGCTGAAATGTAAGTATTTTTATGATTGCTTTATTCTGTTAAGCATAGACTTAAGGTGAGCTGTTCAGTAATACTTTAAAAGTTGATCGCCTTTTAAAATCACTCGTGTGGTATTTGTCTAATATGTACGAACAAGTTACTAGTTTTTGAAAGTTATCTCATAAACATTTGCATTCTCATTGTTTTTGCGTCCAGCGATCCGAATTATTCTAAATCAAATAGAGGAGTATGAAGTGATTTTAAAACTCAAGATCCAACGTAGAATAAAAACTTCACTTCACTGTGACCAATTTTGAAACTTGTCACCAGATATCCCCGACCACTTTACGGTTACATTGCATAGACCTCCCGTGATAATGCATTCCCTGAAGCTGACAACCGCGAATCGATGATGTCTTTATTTCATTACTGTCATCGTCCTTTCAACTAATTCTGTGCTAACCACCATTAGAGTAGATGGTAACTAGGGTTGTGCGATGCACGCATCAGTCACTTTAGTCGGTGTTTCAGTTCCTGTGGTCACTCTAGGAAATATATATTCTGCTACCCAATATTCTTTGGAAACAATGTTTCACTTGACTGGTCCTTTATCAGGACAAAAATCGTAAGTGAACAAGAAAGATATTCCAAAAATCTGAACGGCAAAAAACTGAACACACAGGAGTGTCTTATTAATTTACCCACTATCACCGGATCAATGAGCTATCACCAACAGTCTGAAAAAAATTTGCACATAACTCTAAAACTAATTTATCAGTCAGTAAATACTCTAAATTAACTTGTCCATTTTAGATTTTCTTAAGGCTAAGTAAGTTTATATCTCATCATTCTTTCGAAACTCAGTGGCAAATAAATATGTTATTTACCGAATTTCAAAATGATTACTTACGCCTGTTACTCCTCGTGAAGGAGCATAGGCCGCTCACCAGCATTCTCCATCCAACTCTGTCCTGGGCAATCCTTTCTAGCTCCTTCCAGTCATTATTCATACTTTTCATATCTGCTTCGATTTCCCAACGTAATGTGTTCTTTGGCCTTCCTCTTTTCCGCTTCCCTTCAGGATTCCAAGTTAGGGCTTGCCATGTGATGCAGTTTGATGATTTGCGTAATGTGTGTCCTATCCATTCCCAACGTCTTTTCCTAATTTCTTCAGCTGGAAGCTGATTTGTTCTCTCCCAGAGAAGGCTGTTGTTGATGGTATCCGGCCAATGGATGTTGAGTATCTTGCATAGACAGCTGTTTATAAATACTTGTACCTTCTTGATTGTGGTTGTTGTAGTTCTTCAAGTTTCAGCTCCGTACAGTAGAACTAACTGTCTTGACGTCCGCATGGAAGATCCTGACTTTGATATTGGTTGAAAGTTGTTTTGAGTTCCATATGTTCTTCAATTGTAGGAATGCGGCTCCTGCTTTGCCAATCCTCGCCTTTACGTCTGCATCTGAACCTCCTCGTTCATTGGTGATGCTTCCCAGGTATGTGAAGGATTCTACATCTTCCAGAGTTTTGCCATCAAGAGTGATTGGACTGTTGTTCTCCGTGTTGTATTTGAGGACCTTGGTTTTCCCTTTGTGTATGCTGACGCCTACTGATGTAGAGACTACTGGTACACTGGCTGTCTTTATCTGCATCTGTTTGTGTGTATGTGATAGGAGGGCTAGGTCATCTGCGAAGTCTGAATCGTCTAATTGGTTCTGAGCTGTCTAGTGTATTCCGTGTTTTCCCTCAGATGTCGAGGTCTTCATAATCCAGTCGACCACCAAAAGAAAGAGGAAGGGAGAGAGCAAAGAGCCTTGTCTGACTCCGGTCCTTACTTGAAATGCATCTGTCAGCTGTCCTCCATGCACGACTTTGCATTGTAGTTCGTCGTATGAGTTCCGGATAATATTGACAATCTTTTCAGGAACTCCGTAGTGTCGTAGAAGTTTCCATGATGTCCTCCTATCTACACTGTTAAATGCATTTTCATAATCAATGAAGTTGATGTATAATGACGAGTTCCACTCAACTGATTATTCAACGATGATCCGTAGTGTTGCAATTTGGTCTGTGCGCGATCGATCTTTACGGAATCCAGCCTGTTGATCTCGAAGTTGGGCGTCTATTGCATCTTTCATCCGGTTCAACAAAACTCTGTTAAGGACTCCCTGGTATTCTTTGGAATCTTGATCAGATGTCCTTCTTTCCAGTCCATCGGCACTTTTTCCTCCTCCCAAATCTTTTTGGATAGAAGGTAAAGCATGTTTGTAGTTACTTCGATATCTTCATATCCGCTGTTATCTATTCCAACTTTGGCGTTTAGATCTCCCATCGGAATGGCGAGGTCGTTTCTTGGGCACTTCGCTATGATTGATTGCAACCTCTCATAGAATTGATCTTTAATGTCGTCATTGCTGTCATTGGTGGGTGCATAACATTGGATAATATTCATTGTGATCCCATCCTTCGTTTTGAATGGTGCTTTGATGATTTTGGATCCATGAGATTCCCATCCTACAAGTGCATTTCGTGCTACTTTGGACAGCATTATAGCAACTCTCTGGGTGTGTGGAGCATTTTCCTCTTCGTTGCCGGAGTATAGCAGCTTCTCTCCCGTATTTAGCCTTTGTTGTCCAGATTGGGTCCAATGGGTTTCGCTGATTCCCAGTACTGCCAATTTGTATCTCCTTATTTCCGTTGCTATTTGACTGGTCTTCCCGGTCTCCCACATTGCTCGGAGGTTACATGTACCTATAAAAATTGTTGCTCTGGTTGTTAGAAGGGTCATCGGCCTCGTAAATTCCGAAGGAACTCAACTTTCACCATGAAGCATCATAATTCTTCTAAATGAAGACCTTCAAACTCCCAGGGCAGAGTTAAAATGGTTTGAATTATTTTTTTTCTGGTTATCGTGTTT